TTAAATAAAATATATATTAACATTAAAACTGTTTTTATAAAATTTATATATTATTCTGTTTTTTTATTTTGTTTTTTATAATAAATAAATTAAATAAATCAAGATATATAACTTATCATAATATATATTTTTGTTTATTAATAAATATTTATTTATATATATTTTCGTTTTTTAATAAGAAGTACCTATATAACATATATTCTCATTTTTTTAAATTATATTTAATGAAAATTACAATATTATAATTTAATCAAATTTAACCTAAAATCTAATTAAATTCAGAAAATATATCAAATGTAAATTTTTTTTCAAGAAATACCTCTTCTCTTCTAACTCCTCCAATCTTCTTGTCCAACCTTTTTGCAATCTACTTCTACTATATCAATCTTCTTCTATTCAAAGAAAAATTAAAATAAATTACAATCCCATAATACAATAAATAAAAACTTGTAAACAAAATAGAGACAAAATTAAATTAAATTAACCTGAAAAAACAAGAATTAATGGAGATTGAAGTTGGATTTTATGAAAAAGAAGAGGTTTTATAATGGAGATTGAGTTGGATTTTTGAAGAAGAAGAGAGTTAATGGAGATTGGGATTTTTGAAGAAGAAGAGGGTTAATGGAGAGGAAGAGTGTTTGATGAAAATGAACTACTGTCTGCTTGGTGTAACGTGATTTAATTAAATATATAAATCATTCAGCGACGTGAAAATCACGCCGCAACTTTGTCACGCCACTTTCACGTCGCCACAATGCCAACAGTCATATTCTCTTTCTTCACATACCTGCAAAAGCTGATCATGTCAGTCTGAATTAATTTGCTTTTCCCTCTTAAATGTTGCGACGTGAATACCACGTCACAACTGACTTTTTCAAAATTTCGAAAATCCATCCATCTGAGCGTTAGACCAATTAAAATATTTTATATTATATTTTTACTAGCGACGTGATTCTCACGTCATAACATATATATTTTTTTAAACTCAGACAACCATCATGATTCTTTATTTTATTAATAAAACATGTTGCCACGTGATTATCACGTTGCAACTAGTTTTTTTTAGCCACATAATAATCACGTAGCAAAAACACGTGACTGAAGATGATATTTCTTGTGTGATATGAATATATTTGACACTATATAAAATGCATCATAAATAGGCATGTTAATGTAATTTTTAAAATACAACATCATGTTTTTTTTTTATATAAAAATTAAATATGCACGGATGTCACAATGAACCGCAATAAATAATAACGTTTTTCTTCTAAGGTAAGATTTTTGATTAGGTTGAAAGAGAACTTTATCATTTCATTTAAGTTATATAAATTCTAATAATATGTTTAACTTAACTATATCTCAATAAAATGATTTTTAAAAGTATTTCTCGACACTATTAAATATACATAGGTATATATAAATAAGTATGTAGTTAGTGTGATGTTCTAGGCCGAAGAAGGTGGTGAATGATTGTCCAAGTCATGGACAATGAGCAATTTCTAATAGTTTTAGAGAATAGTCGACAGTTTTTAAAAGCACCGTGACATGTTTGAGTTAGTATATATATATAAACAAATAACCTAGCTAAGAAGATAATCATGTGCTTTGCTATCTTTAAGAGTCCTCGTGCATGCATGTATGAGAAACCGGCTACTCAAAAACCGTGCTTTGTTACGTTGGAGGCTTCAAGCATGGACATGAATATCTAGTGAAAGAGACATGTTCACCCCACATAAAACATCATTTACAGCATAACCCGGAGAATGATGCTGGCTTATCCGCATATTATGTATAATGATAATCCACGCCACCTTACGTTAGCCAGAGGTAGCATTGTTGTTTTACTTTTTCTACTTTCTTCATTTAATCTAGTAACTAATGAGTTGATAGAAATATAGCGTATCGTATAGAATGTTAATATTTGATTTATGTGCTAGACTCTTTAAAATTCATTTAAAGAACATGTTTGAATAAACATCTAATTTCAAATTTATAATATAAGTACTCATTAAAATAAATGTTTATGAATAATATAACACAAACGGATTTTAAAAGTTTCTGAATGGATTTCTAAATGATAAAGTTTATGTTTAACAACTCACATGGTTCATTGATTCCAGTTTATCAACAAATTTAAAAAGGTATTTTAGGGTTGAAACAAATTTCTAGAACTTTTTAAGAATGTCTCACTAAATTTATCATTAGTAATGGCTATCACGTGAGAGGAGGAATTGACAAAACTCTATTCATCAAGAAAGAAGAAGGAAAATTAATGATAGCTCAAAGTTATGTGGACGATATTGTGTTTGAAGGGATGTCAAACAAGATAGTAGAACATTTTGTCCAACAAATACATTATGAGTTTGAAACGGCTTAGTGGGTGAACTTACATACTTTCTTGGTTTACAAATCAATTATTAAGAGAACATTGTCAAGAAACTCGATATTGAAAATGCAAGGCATAAACGAACTCTTGTTGTCACTCATGTAAAAATCATTAAAGATGATCAATGAGTGACTATGGATCAAAGTCTTTATAAAAGTATGATTGAAAGTCTCTTGTATCTTACTACTAGTTGTCCTGACATCACTTTTTATATGTGTTTGTGCTCGATATCAATCCAATCCTAAAATGGTCCATCTTACACAAGTTGAAAAGAATCATTGAATACATAAATGGAACTTGTGATTATGGAATCCTATACTCCTATGAAACCAACTTCATTCTTGTTAGATATTGTAATCTGATTGGACATGTAATGCTAAAGATAGAAAAAACACCTCAAACAGATGTTTATTCTTGTTAAATAATATTATTTCTTGGTTCATAAAAAACATAATTTTGTTTCTCTGTCCGCGGTGAAGATGAACACATTACTGCTGGAAACATTTGTACTAAACTCTTATGGATAAAATAGATGTTGAAAGATTACATTGGCACACAAGATGTTATAACATTATAAATTATGAAAACTTGAGAGCTATTAACATTTCCAAGAATTCAGTCCATTATTGTTGCTAAAAACACATTGATATACAACATCATTTTATTAGAGAACTTGTACAAGATAAGATAAATATCCTGGATCATGTGTCAAAAGAAAAAAAACTTGCAGATATTTTCATAAAGGTCTTGGATGCTACACAATTTGAAAAATTAAGAAGCGCCTTAAGTTTGTGTGTGATGGAAGATTTGTAGCAATTAATGTTGAGGTGGCTGGAGAGTAAATGAGCCAAAATCTTATCCCTTCATCCTACCACTACTAAGAAGTGTGTGATGAAAATTTTCTAGACAAATGATAATGTTAAACATCTTCATATTCAAAATAATTATTTTATCACTTAATTTTTATTTTCACACTCCTCTCTCATCTATCATTCATCCTCGTCTTTGGACTCACATCTTCTCTCTCCAACCCAAACACCAATTGTCCATCTTCATCCGGGACTTATTACGAAAATGGTAAGGACACAACAAAGTACTAACACCTCATAAAAAGATAAGAGTGATAATAAAGCCTATATATCATCCATGAAAGATAAATCAGTAGTCAATATGCATGGCATGAAAATGAAATGTGTCATAATTTTAGGGAAGGCAGATGGTCAGGCTAGAGGTCTTCCCACCATTGAGAAACCAAATGAGGTACAAAATAAGAAACTGAAGAAGATTATTAAGGCGCTTTATTAACCATGGTTGACCAAACAAGAAAAAAGGGAAAATGTCAAAACGGTTCTAAAAGACACCAGAGTTTATCATACCCTAAAAATTTTCCACCATTTTTCTCTAGGTCATTGAGTCAGGATATTTTGTTTGAGCCAGTTGACTCCATCTAAGACATGTGTCTTTGCTTTTGTTTTTTCATTCATCTTAGTCAAGAAATTTTGTCTGAGTCATTTCATTTGATTGAGTGAGTTACTTTCATCTGATACATTGCATTAGTCATCTGAGTCTTTTATTTGTCTAAGTCAAAAGGTCAACTCCATTAACCCAAAAGTAAGAAGGACCATTTTGACTTTTATCTTTTTATTCATTTAATCATTTTTTAGTTTATTCTATTCTATTATTATTATTATTATTATTATTACTATTATTATTATTATTATTATTATTATTATTAATATTATTATTATTATTATTATTATTATTATTATTATTATTATTATTATTATTATTATTATTATTATTATTATTATTTAGTATTTTATTTATTTACTATCATTATTAGTATAGTTATTGTTACTACCATTATTTTTATTATCATTATCATTATATTCATTATTATTATATTAGTATTACTATTATTATTATTATTATTATTATTATTATTATTATTATTATTATTATTATTATTATTATTATTATTATTATTATTATTTATTTATTTATTTAGCTAGTTTTATTATTATTATTTATCTACATTATTATTGTTTGTTTATTTTGTTTATTCTGATTTAAACCCTAAGTCAACACCATATTAAAAAAACATCCAACACACCAAAAAAGTCCAAAAGAGATACATAATCGGATCAAAGTCTAAAATAGGATCAAATCAAATTTTTTATTCATTGATTACAAAAACAAGATTTACTGTTACAGATTCAAAGTCCCAATTAACCCTAACTATACAAAATCATTTCTAAAAAACATTAAATATAATCTAAAAAAATTCCTAATTGAATTTAAAACAATAACTTTTAACTATAAAAATCCAAGAATTCTACATAGAGAGTCACAAATTGAAAATAAAAGAGAAACCCTAATTAGAAACTACAATCTTCCTCATCCCTCACCAAAGCTCCATTCCCAGAGATCATTAGGGCTTCACCATAAAGTTTAAGCGACCTGAGCTAAGCTATCCATCCAACAATGAAAAGCCTCGAAGAAAAGAAGAAGGAAGAAGTCAAAATAAGCGGAAGGAAAGAAGTGAAAATAGAAAAATTAAAGGGAAAAAGAAAAGAGGAAGCTTTACTCGGGGATTGCATCGTCGCCAGAGATGAACCATCAGAGGAAATACAATTCGGTAAACCTTAGACCCTTTGATGATGTTGTCATATTGATTGATGTTCTTGAGTGCATACATGATCACTTTCCTAGGTTAATTTCTCAATCCATGCTTGATTTTATGAAATTTGGAATTTACGTTTTTGGTACTTTGTTGGTTCGATCTGATTTTTGGGTTTGGTTTTTGGTTCTTTTAATGTTGGATTCTTCTTCTAGGTTTTTTTTTAGTTAGAGTTATTTTTGTTCTTGTCCTAGGTTAGGGTTATGGAGGTGTAGGATGAATATTCATCGTGTTCATATGAACATGATGACAATATGAATACTTTTGGGTTACTATAGTGGTACTAAGGGTGGTAGACGAAAGAGCTATGGTGGCGTTCTTCATGTTTATATAAACATGAAGAACAAGGTTGAATGTGGTGGTTCTAAGGGTGGTAGATGATGATCCTTAGGGTGGCTCTAGGGTTTTATGGTTGCTGGATGTTCTAAGTTGTGTGGTAGTCTAGATTGAGGTGAGAGCATGTTGAGTGTTAGAGAGAGAGAGAGAGAGAGAGAGAGAGAGTATAGAAAAAATGGAGAAGAGAGAAAAATAAAGTGGGGGATTAAGGGGGATCAGAATAGAGGACCATTTAATGACCCTTCCATCACTACAAGAAAATTAGTGTTTAACGACACAAAAATTGCGACAGTTATGTGATAACTTTCGTAATTGACATATAGAGACAGTGTTTACGACAGTTGACACCAACCGTCCCTAATATTTATTTTGCGACGGTATATTTAACCATCATAATATTATTATTACGACGGTAAAACAACCGTCGGCCCCCATTTAACACTTTTAACATTGATTTTTCACCAACAACTAGTCACGACGGTAAAATTAACCGTCCTAAAAGGCATATCACGACGGTAAAGCACCCGTCGCACCCTTAAACCTTTCACGACGGTAAAATTATCCGTCCTAAAATTCATTTCACGACGGTAAAACAACCGTCGCACCCAAAACCTTTAAAAATTCTCATGGGCACGACGGTAAAACACATGTCGCCGTAAAAAAGTTAAAAAGCTCATAAAACATCCATTCACTTTCTACTCCTGCGTTCACTTTTTCTACTCACGGTGCCGTTCATGCCGTTCTTCTTCACACCGAAAGAAACCCCTTGACACCGAAAGGAATCTCTTCAAACCGCTCATCTTCACACCAAAAAACGCACAGCAATGGAAACTACATCCTCTGCGTTCATCTCTTCAAACACAGTAAGTTTTATGTATCACTTTTTGCATTGTTCTCATCTCTCTCATTCTCTGCCATTGATTTCAGCATTGGAGATTCACTTGAATCTTATGGTTGAGCTCTTTGTGATGATTGATTTTGAGTTTGAATATATTGAATTGATGTTAGGTTTTCTAATTTGTTATTTTAGGGTTTTATTTCTTTTTATGATTTTTTAGGTTTTCTAATTTGTTGTTTTAGGCATAAAACTGATATAAGAGGACCATATACTGATCCAAATGGGATAGTAGTCGTTTTGCAATTGTAATAATAATATTGATATATCAGTCACTCCCCTTGTTAAGTTTCCTGGCTTTAGGACAGTATTTCGAAGGCAGCAGGACCAGAATGAGGTTAAGAGGATTCCTAAAGAGGAGATGTTCCGATTCTCTCATCAGGTTCCTAATCACTTGCTTAGTGGTCAAGAAGCTCATAATGCTCCAATAGGCTGTCGAGAGTTGGATCCAACAGCTACTCCTTTAGATCTCCTTCAGATAGAAACGGAAGCTTACGACACTGCAGGTAATGTCAAAAAAGCCTGAGCAAGACACATAACCTACAATTTAGTTCTACTGAAGAACATGCATTTTGAACAGGAGAGAGGATGCTCCGAAACCTTGTAGAGCAGAAATGTTCAAACGAGGGTGACAAACAAAAAATGGAATGGTAGATGACAATGCACAACATTGTGTCCTTTTATGCGTAGGCTTGGGAAATTCAAATTAAAATTGATGAAAATACACCCTCTTACTCAACTTTTTGATTTTGTAAGTCCAACCCAGATAATCTCTAGTGTCTTTTGGTTTTTTGTTGTATAATTTTTAGACATGTTATTCCTAGACTTCATATGGATGTCCATACTCATGGTGAACACAGTTATTACATCAATCTTCAAACAAGATGATTATACTGTTGTTTGGGATTATTACATGCTTTCCGTGCCAGGTGATTTGCTTTTCTAGTTTATGAACAGGCCCATTCTATTAATGAGTTTTACTTCCGTCTGATTCATTTGCTGATTGCAGTTCTATACCTGATGCTATGAAGCATTTACTTATTTAAAACTGCACTTGATGTATATTAAAAAAAACTGCACACCGTTTTTTTATTACGACTTCCTGTTTTTAATAGAAAAACACTCGTGTTCTTCTGTGATTTAAGTGGGGTCTCCGCTTGGCAACTTTCACTAAGTATGGGTTGGTGAATGGTAGAGATTACATTCCAGGTATAAAGTTGGTAGGAAATGGTCAGATACATATTTTTAGTTTGATCCTGAGTGGGAGGAGAGCTGCTCAAGAATTTCAATAGATTTAGTAGGTTATTTAGAATGACGGGGAACAGAGACCATGTCAATAGGAAGATGAGGTGGTAGGATTTTGTTGGCTAACGTTTTGAAAATATGTTAAATGTTTGGATGTGAAATTAGAACTCGAGAGAATGCTATTCATTCAAAAGAGATTACCATATGAACAGGATCATGTCAACATAAATGATTCTTCAACTTGTGATGTTATCCGGAACAAATTGGTGCCTCATAAGGTGTTATTACTTGCATGGATCATGTCAACATAAATGATTCTTCAACTTGTGATGTTATCTGGAACAAATTGGTGCCTCATAAGGTGTTCTTACTTGCATGGAGGCTAATTAATAATAAAGATTCAGATGTGGAATTACTCAATTGAAATCCAATTTGTGTGCCAAATTGTGATGATATTCAAACTTTTCAATATTAATTTTATAAGAATTTTAGTGCAACAGTTAAACATAACTTTTCCTAATGATGCATTCTGTTTTATTCACGTGTATAAAAAGTTTATAGTTTGATGCATCTTGATATAACATACCTGTCTAGATTTTAACTCCCTTGCAACCCCTGCTGTTATTGCAGAGGTGAAATATTCCGCTGCTTCTTTGGCTGCTCAAAGTCTATTGCTAAGGTGAGAATTTCATTTTCAGTGTTTATAGTTAATGGCTAGTTAACTGTATTATACTCATGCTGGTTATTCTAAATCAATACAATTGATTTTGAAATGTTATTGTGTTCCCATTCACATTGGATCCTTTTCTGCTCTGGTACTTTCTTTACTCGAGTTTGTTATGGTTCCCAGCAGTTTAGATTAGGGGTTGGCATTTGTCATGATTAGTACTTGTCTTACTGCTCTGATAGTCATACCTGGATGCTCATGTGATTTTGTTGCTGACAATAATATTAAAATCTAGGAGATTTCTCAGTTTCATTTTGTAAAGCATGTATTTGCTACGTATTTGCTACTTAGGTGTAAATGTTGATGAATTATTGCTACGGGAAGTACACTATCTTCACCAAGTTATTTAAATAAGCATTATAGGCTGTGTAAATGTTTTTTTTTTACTTTCCGATGCATGTAGCTTTGTAACATCTAATGTATTTTGTCACCAATTATGGAATCACCTAGTTTAATGCTTATTGAGTTAGATACTAATTTCTACAAGCTTATATCGTCAATCACCTAGTTTAATGCTTTATTGAGTATTTGAGTTAAATACTAGTTTCTATAAGCTCATATCATTCCAGTGTCTTATTAACAAGATGTCTCTACACAAAGGATTTTGTGCTCGCGTTCTCTTTTTGGTAACTCCATCCGTTTCAAATGAATTGTCATGTTAGAAGTCTTAGTTTCAGATTATGTAAGGCTTAGAAAGTCAAGAAAGCATTATTTTTGTCTTTTTTTTTTTAACTTTCTTTTGGGATTTGCACTATTTGGAATTAGAGGCAGCCTTGACAAAGTTAAGGGCTTGGCCATAGCAAATGAAAATAGTGTCTGGGAATCAAAAAGGTGAATTGGGATTTGGGATTGTAGAGGGTGTGAGTTTCAACCTCTATCGGTGAAATCTGAACAAGGATTAAATGACTGGAGGAGTTTTGCTATACTCACTTGATTTGATTACTGAACTTGGATCCCCAATACTTAGTAGAGGGGGCTTGTAATTTTCTAACCATTCAAATTGAATTGAAAGGTGATACATTAGTGTTTTTATTTGTTAGATTTCTCTGGTTTGTATGTTATCCCTATCTATAATGCATGTTTTTATTTGTTACAAATGTAGAAAATATCCCAAAAAAATTCCCAAAATAGAGCAAAATTGAAGGCTCCGCATACACTCGGATCTAAGTCGCTTGCAAGGAAGAAACATGAGTTGGTATGTCTAAATCTATATGTTGTTGATCGTTTGCTTGATAGTACAAACAATTTATATTAGTTTTTATTTGCAGGAAATGAGAGATGGACGAACATACAGCAGAGGAGAAATGTATGCAGTTTCTCATAAAAAGCCTAACGGGTCATTTATCAATGAAGATGCATACAACAATAATGTAAGTACAAGTTAATTCTTTTGAAATACTGGAAAAAAAAACGGTAATAGTAATAGAACCATCCCAAATAAAACTCACCACTGGAATTTATATATATATAATATGGAGAAAGAGCCCGATATATGCTTGGATTCCACTTGATGACATTGTATCATTGAACTAAATAAAAGCTTATAACTTATTTATGTTATTAACAATGAGATCATATATCATTGAACTCAAGTGAATACATATCAAAAGAAGAGAAAGGATAAACGTCTGTTTTATTTCATCCACATATAAAAAGATTTCAAACACAATGTCACACGTCCAATTCATGATCAAGCCTTAAATGCGGGAGGAGGACGAGGAATAATATAACCTGAAAGAATAACATTTGAGAATAGAAATTAATATTAGTTTTTCATAAAATAATTAATATTTATTTGAATTTGATAATAAAATGTTATTAACTTACTTCCACATTTATCAGTAGGAACGTTTGGAACTTTACAAGCGTTTGCTACAAACAATGCTTTTTCCATGCTGATTGCATTTTCAATATCAGGAGTCACATTCTTACAGTAACATGAGACATTAACGCCTTCCAATGACGCACAACAAGCTTCTAAATCTGCTAATGATGGATAGCAAGCTTTACTGAACTTCTTGTAAACAATTCTCCATGTCACATTTGCAATAGTTTGTGCCACCTCCTAGTTTGTGTCAACTTCTTTTTACGTATATATGGAAGTCCATGATTTGATCAAGAGGTTCTCCCCCAATATATTATTCTTGTTATATAAACAATAGCTCAATTTTTTCTTTTTCATGTGCAGAAAAAATTACAAGCTGCAATTAAGGATTCTGTGTCTGAAAATGAGGCATTTCAGAAAGTATTTGGAAAAGAAAAGCATGGATATGTTCGTAGTATGGGACTTGGAGTTACACCATCTCAAATTAATAGATCTACGAGATCGACATCTTCTTCTGCAGAAAGTGAACAAATAAAGGAAATGCAAGAAGAAATTAATGCACTTAAAGAAAAGAATTCAAAAATTGATGAATTAACACAGGCAATCATATTCTTAACGCAAAGGGACAAGGCGAGGACAAAGGAAATTGAACTCTTAATGCAAATGCAGAATTTTAGTGGAAGACAGGTATATTTTTTTGACGCATTTAAAGTTAAATTTTATGAGTATTATTTTAAAGATTATTATTTTAATACCTTTTTTTAGGGATTGGAATCACCCGCTGATGGTAGACGTTCATCTGAGTCTAGCTACCGTATTGGAGATAATGGAACTTTAGGGGGGACAAATTAGACTTTGCTATGATCGAGATAATTAGATTGTGAACTTTCTCATGTATTTTTGGCATAATGATACTTATTATTATAAGATTAGGAATTGATATATTTTGGGTTTTTTGTACTACTTGACATGATTATGGAACTCGCATTTTACATGATTATGGAACACACATTTTTTTGGATATTATAATGCTTATTTGATGTTAAATATTTTTTATTGAAATTATTTTTACTATATTACAAAGTGATAGAAAATAAAACAAAAAATAATACTATAAATAAATATATTAAAGAAGAAATAATTTAAAGAAAAAAATAACACAAAAAAAACTATATTTAAAATTTTTTACATAGATAATAATTTAAATAAAAAATATATATAATAGAAAAATAAAAAAAAATCAAGACATAAACAAAAGTCATGGCGACAGTACCGAACCGTCGTAATCAACAATTAAAAATAATCAACAAAAGTCATGACGGTATCGAACCGTCGCCATAAACAATTTAATCAATTTCAAAAGATATTCACGACAGTATCGAACCGTCGCCATCAATAATTAAAAGAAACTCAAAAGATAGTCACGACGGTATCAACCCGTCGTAAACTAGAACGACAGTTTTTGTAACCGTCGCGAAATAGGTTGGGGACACACACTTCTGCGACGGTAAAGCAACCGTCGTGGAAAGCAAATTGCGACGGTTTTAACCGTCGTAATCTACAAAAATACCTGTCGCAATCTGCCAATTTTCTTGTAGTGCATCCACGCGTTTGATGAGTTCCAAGCGTCTCACTCTCTGCCTTAGAACTAGCATACTTTAAGGTTGGCCCTGGTACTCTTGTACTGGGGTCCCCACATTAGCTTGCCATGCATGCCCATCTTAGCCATATATCATGTTTGACTTCCATGAGTATGTAAATCCAATGGTACAACATGTTCTCCCTAAAAAAATTTCAAGACCATCAGATTAATATGATGGCCACACGCCTCCCTGAGACTTTTAGTTTTGTTTGCTAATGGATTTGGTATTCTGATGGGCCTGTTAGCATTTGAGATTTGTCTTTCTTCTACATACACCACCAAATTCTTTTTTACATCCCTGGCTTTGTTCTTTATTAGTTTTATTTAGTTAATTTATTTTAATTGGTTAAATTACCTTATTTAGATTTTTATTCAGTAAATTATTTTGGTTTTATTAGTTTTATTTAATCAAGTTTCATTAATTGATATTGTTGTACCCCAAAATTTTCCCTCCCATATTCTTCAAAGATTTGCCAAGTCAAAGCTTCAAAATCTCCCCAAGGGTTGCACAGTCAAGGGTCTCCTAAACAGTCAAAATTAGGGTTTGTGTTTTGATCAAGAAAATGAAGTTTCCAAAGGTCCAATCAAGTCTCATATGCCTACAAATATGGTCAAGCATCCTCATATCAAGTTTCAAGACATTCAGCTCAAAATTGCACAGTCAAAACCCTAAATTGCACTACAGTCAACTGTAGGGGCAAAATGGTCATTTGGCAGTCAAAAGTTCAAATTTTTGGTCAACATATCATTTTGAAGCCACAAACATCATTTGATCAATGCTTGATCATGATTCTCAAAATTTGGCTCAGAAATCATCAAGATGCAAAAGTTTCCTTATTTGGACAGTTGGAAAAGTCAACTGTAAATTGACCAGGGCATAACTTTCACATGGATTATCAGAAAAATTCCATCCAAAGCTCATTTTGAAGAGAAAGACATTTCCTACAATTCATCTTCATACTTAAAATCCAAGAAATGCTCTCACAAAAAGTTATCAATTTCAACATTATAGGTCATTTTCAAAAGTCAACAAAAAGGGACTTTAAGTCAAAGGCCATAACTTGAGATTGTTAAATCAAAATGACATGGGACCAAAGACATTGGTTAGAGTACTCAAAGACCTTTCAAAAATGTCTAAGAACATGAGAAAAGCTTAAAAATTGAGCAAGTTATGCCTTGTAGAAGTTGGGAAATTTTTGGATATTTTGAAAAGTCAACATTGATTCAAATGGCCTAAAATTGCTAATGGGCCCATGTTTCTTCCACAAATAATCATCAATGGCATGTGCACGACCACTTGGCCCAAAGGGAAGTTTTTATTCATTTTTTATTTATTTATTTGGATTTTTATTAATAATAATTCATTTAAATTAAAATAAATACATGAAAAATGCTAACCTAAGTTTTTTCAATCTTTTTGTGCATGTTTTATCCTCAAGATTTCGTGCATAACTCAATATAGAAAGATTTTGATTGAATTGATCTTAATTGGTACAAAAACACATGGAAAAGATTGAAAAAAGATATAGAAAATCAAATTTCCAAAAACCATGAATGCAATGGATTTGTTCTATTTTTCTTGACCTAATTGACTCAATACAAAAGCCTAAACACAAACCTAATCATAGAACACACGCAGCTGCTCAGAAAAACCATTATCAAACTTGAAATTTTTCTCAAAAAACTCAATTCTGAAAACTCACTTAGAGATCGATTCAAGCCTCAAAACCTATCTCATTAGCTTCCTCAAGCATTATAGGACGTATCCCAATCAAGAACATTCATCAAAACGCCCGGAATTGGTACAGTGGAGTCCAACTGTTTCAAATAAAATTCACAATCGTGCATCTTCATTCATGCGTTTATTGCAAGTTTTAATTGTTGATTTACATTCCTCATGCTATTCTGAAGCTAACCCATGTGTTTAATTATGTTTTTATGCCTTGTACACGATTATACCATTATTGAATTTTAGGGTTTACAGGATTCCAAATTAGGGATTTCAAAATAAGGCAAAATTGAAGGCTGAGACCAAAGCCATTGAATTTAGCGCACTTGGACGAAGCAGAATCCATACTCGCGCTCAATTTATGAGCATCTAATAGCTAATCGCTATTATTTTTCCAAAGCGTGCCTAAGAGAACACATCTAAAACCGTTGCCTATGTTGTTTACGTTTCAGGAAAATAAAGTCCCACGAAGAAGATGACCTCGTGGCGTACGTTGGTTGGTTCTTTTAAATTTTCGCGCGAAGAACAAAACACTAACGCATGTTTTTTTATTATATTTGTTTGTTCCTTAATATACAAAGCGCGTTACTGGCACGGTTGGCAAGTATAAGGATGGGCAAAGCACATGACCTGGGTTCGAGTCCCAGGTCTTCAATATCCCAATATTATTTTTCAATAAAAGTTCACATGCACTTCAAGGCTGCAGACGCACCATACACCTCCTAATCAAGCCAGCCACGCGTACGTTGAGAGAGATCCAAGGGCACTGATTGAAAGAACACCATGAGCATAGGTCAACGTTGCAGCACACTACCTGGAAAGTCAATAAGGCCAAATCCTTAATGGGCTTAAAATGCTTACAATTCACCTCCACATTGGGGACTACAACCCCCCTTGGTTTGCAATTTTTTCACTTTCTTTATGTTTTCTTATTTTTTATTTTCTTTTGATTATTGTCTTTAATTAATTCCTTATTTTCACAAAAAATATAAAAAACACCTAAAAATCAGAAAAGAGAAAAATGATAAATATTTTTATTTCTAGTATTTTTATAAATAAATTGCATATAATTAAATTTA